GGGTCAGACATGAGGCTTCACAATAAAAGCACTCCTACTCCTGCTGCTCCTGAGGTGAGTTCACTGTGTCCTATAATATAGTGAGTAACAGCTTTATTCTGAAAACAAACCACTTCATTCTAAAAATACTTCCTCCTTTCAGAGGTGTTCCTGAAGGTTTTTTTATTTAGCTTTCACTTTATAAAGCACGTTTTACTTTATACTGAAACTATGACTTTGTTGAGAAATTGCTTTTATGACTTTTCTCAACATTTTTACGACTTCAGTCTGAAAACACATCGTTTTTCATTATCTAGAAGATATGGTGCCTTTATTCTGAAAATATCCCAGCTATGATATGAAATCCGTTTCTGGCTGTAATCTCAGGGCTTTGACCTTTATTGTGAAGGTGACCTCTGACCTGTTCCTTGGCGTCAGCGGCGTCTCCGCTCCACTTGGCCGTCCTCCATCTGTTGCGTCCTGGCGGTGAAGGACTCAGACTCCCAGCATGCACCTCGGCCCGCAGCTCGGCCAGCGAGTCCAGAGCGTCTCCCGGCGGCACCGAGACTCTGGGAGGCCGAGGCCCTGCACAGGAACGCCAGAGAACAAGAGCGTTTCTTCTTCTGTTATTTCTGCTCAGATGTGCGCGAACAGCGGCGCTCACCTGAAGACTGCACGCTTCTCTTCTTCTGTGGTGGAGACAGGTGAGCTGAGGCGGCGTCCGGCTGCAGCAGGCGGTCAGACGCTCTCTTTGGGCGCCATCTGCTGGACGAACAGAGAACAGCAGCGTAAAATATGCAAACTGCAGCAGCAATACCACCTTAAAAAGATTCCTGACATGGCAGCAGACATGTGGAATGTCCCTGTGTGCATTGTTCTGTGTCTGGTTACTGGACTTCTGCCTGTTCTGGGAGGGGATGAACACATCTGAGGACGACACGACATCTGAGAGCCGGTAAAAACAACAGGACACAACACATTTCTGCAAAATCTTGGAGGAACATTCGTCTCATTCCTTTTAGAAAAACTGTGAAAATCACTTTTAAATGAGTAAATCTTGTCCCTGTGGCAGCCATTCAGGCTGTAGAACAATATCAGTAAAATCTCAATTAAAGCAATAATTAGAAACTTTAACTCTGAATAACTGCATCAAAACAATGAGAGCAAATTAATATCTAGAAAACTCGTCACAAATCAGAACATGATGAAAACTCAGTGAAGCATAAACATCTGAGTCCTGTGAACAGAACAAACCTTCATGTTCCTCAGACGTCTGGACCAAAACCTCGTCTGTCAGAAACTCTTCAGATTTCTGTGAAACTCTTGAACTCACCTGTTGGACAAACAGGTCGACGACTCGGCCGTCTGTCTCTGCTGCGATTGGCCGCCGCGGCTCCCTGGTGGCCTGTGATTGGCCGCTGAGGCCTTGAGTCCCAGCAGCGTCTTCACCACGTTCTGGAACAGCGGCCTACAGGGGCTGAACAAACGGCCGCTTTAGTGTGGTCAACGTGCGGTTAGTGGAGGCTGCGGCCTGCGGGGGGCGCTGCACTGACCTCTGTCTGTCTGTGGAGTCGCCCACAGCACTCCCAGCATGCCTCTTGTCGGCGCCGCCTCTGCCGGACCGATCCCCGTAGCCCTGCTCACAACAAACCATACGATGAACAAACACACTGAAATGGACCGCCTTAACAAGACCCAGCAGGAGGCGTGCCACCTTAAATGACTGGCTGAATGGGTTGGACAGACCACCTTAAAAAAACCTACATTTATACAACCAGATGAAATAGAACAATACATGATACCACCTTAAATAAATGAGCACATCCTTCCATATCGGAAAGGACCAACAGGTCCAAGAATACCACCTTAACAGAGGCAGACCACCTTACAGTTCCTGTGATTTACTAACTCAATCTCAATCAGCAATACCACCTTAAATCAACCACATACATGGCAGTGAAACATTACAAACATGAACTTCATCAGTCCCACCTTAATGAGAGCATCGCACCATACCACCTTAAATGAGCCAATTACATAACAAACCCACTTCTACAGATGTTGAAGGACCAGTAATACCACCTTAAAGGACCCCACGACTGAGCCAGAGAGGCTTACAGCAGAGTTTTACCGCCTTAAATGGAGTAACAGGTGCAGAAGCTGGTGATACCACCTTAACTGGAGGGGCGGGGCTCTGGAGGCGGGACAGCGGGGACTGGTGGGCGGAGTCACAGCCGGCCACCTGATTCTTCTTCTTGGGGATCTTGAAGGGAGACGCCATCCTGCAGCGAAAACACACGCATCAGACAGGAAACACTCGGTTCTGCT